TATACTCTTAGTCGTTAACGAGCTCGAAACAATGCTCATTGTGAACGATAATTAGTTTGTCGCTGGCAACCCGTCTTTGTCACTCTTTCTTCATCCTTCAACCCCTTCCCACCCCTTCTCCTCCTCCTCCTTCTTCTGCCCTATCCTTCCATCCGAAAGATTAGACCTTTCCCTTGTTTTACTGAAATACTCTTTTGAAGGTGACTTCCTCCACTTCTTCTTCTTGTTCTTCTTGTTCTTCTTCTTCTTCTGCTTCTGCTTCTTGTTCTTTCTCTTCGGTGAGAAACGGTGTCCCGGATTAAACCCCTTTTTTTTTTATCGATTGTCACACGATAAGAAATTAAACCGATCATCGTTAAACGCTCTTGCGAATTACGTTGACATTTTTTTTCATTTCTTCTTTTTTCTGAATTTTTGTTAAACGCTAGATCTAACGAGGTAATACAAAATTACTCGTACGACATTTTTCTTATGATTGTTAGAAACAAAAAAATGTCTTACACACCTCGATAAGCGTAATTATTTTCTTATTCGTAAAATAAGACAAAATTGAATTGAAAAAAAAAAGCCAAATCATTTTGTGATTCTCCTTCGATAGGAATAAATTATACGATTCAATTGCGTCGATATTGTTCTAATGTTAAATAAATGATTTCTAAGTGAAATTGTGTATTATTTATTTTGTGTTGAGACTTAATACGCGTGTTTGTATTTGAATTGATTCGAAATAATAACTGCATGATAGCTTTGTTCGGTATACTCATTCGTGGTTTTTTTTTTTATTTTTTTTTTTTATTAAGTTGCTAAGGAAGAAGAAGAAGAAGTGAGAGAGAAAGAGAGAGAGAGGAAGAAAATTTCAAAAGTGCAAAAGCAAAGGCGTTGCGATCGATTAATGGTCGTGCTTCGTTAGTCGTCTGACCATACACGTTCACGATGAAACTTTACCATATATAGTATATATATATATATACATACGGTAAGAGTATATATATATTTTCCCTTTATAAGTATTATATATACATACATGCTACTTCTAGAGAGACCTTAATAACATAACGTGACATAATATCACAATTTTCGCTTGCTCACAATTACTTAACACGCTAAGTATGTAACGAAAAATATATCACATGTGTTACTTTACCACAATTTTCATCACACACTGTGTATATTTATATATATATATATGACAAATAAATAATTCATTAGAAAATTGAAGAGTGTCGACGTGTTTTTTTTTTTAATTTCGACACGTTCTCCTTATCTCATCGTCAAGAATAAATCATTAGAATATATTATTTGTAGTATACACTGATTTTATGATTTTTTACTCTACTGTTGGTACTTATTATAACAAAATCTCAAAGAGATTGAAAAAAGATATATCGAAATGAAATAAGAAATATGGAAATAATAATTTTGTTCAATTTAATTGGACCCCCCTCTAAAAGAAATCGTAGAAACCGATCTGTCAGGTAGAAATAAAACGAACCTTGTAATTACATGTAATTTATCCCGTTAATACGGTATACTGCACAAAGTCCGTACTGTAAACGGATAACCCAGCTTGCTTGCTTGCTTGCTTGCTTGCTTGCTAGCTTGCTAGAACTAAAAATACACGTACCGAGACATAGAAAAATTATCAACTCAAAATTGGTTATAACAATCGCAAGAAAATTTACTTACAGTTTGTTTTTTTTTTTCGGAATATTATTTATTTCCTATCTTACCAAAAAAAAAAGGAAACAGAAAAGTATATTACCAAATACGTTTGCTTTCTAACTTGAAATAATTATTGTTATGAGAATTTTTCCATTTAAATTAAACTCATAGGATAAATAATTGTATTGGTTTAACACCTGTTTTTATATAATATACAAATAATAATTAATTATTGTAGAATCGATTCGTGTTATAAATACAAAAATGAAATATGATTTTTCTTCATATACAAGTTGTTAATCGACTTGAAATTTATGAAGAATCCTGTTACTGTTTAAATATGAACATTTGTAATATAATAACTTTTTAATCAAGTTTTACATGATAGTTGGTTTTGCAAACATGGTTTTTTTTTCTTTTTTTAGTTTCGTGCATAGAATATGTTGACACCATTTGGTCGAATAAAACTTTAAACATTCTCTATAAATCGAACAACATTTAATATATATATTGGCTTGAATCAATCAAAATATTTGATATCACCCTACAATTGGATGAATAACTATTACAACTTCAACTCTATCTACTATACTCGATATATTATAATAACGTGCAAATTTTTTTTTTGTAGAATCATTAGAACGACACTTGGATTATCTAAAATCGATCTAACTAACGATAAAAAATTAAACGAAGAGTTCTAGATATACCTATCGACTAGATATAGAAAATTTCATCAAAATAAATTATTCCACAAATATTCTAATATATAATATCAAATAATTACAATTTTACACACACATAAAAAAAAAAAAAACAGAACAATATATTAATCTCTCATAATTAAAGATACAAAATCTGTATATTATCTAGAAAAGATAACACAAATATATATATATATATATAAAAATAAAGGAAAAAAGCCAAAAAGAAAAAGAAACTTACGCGAATATCAAATGATGAAATATTGTATTATTTCAATACTAAACTACGTTTGAAATTATTTATTATCTATATACCTACCACCTATTTGTATGTAAAAATTGAACGTTTCAACGGAACGTTGGTAAAAAGAGAAGGAAAACAAAAAAAAAAAAAAAAAAAAGAAAAAATACAACTAGATACGGATACCTCTGGGATCGTGTAAATTCTGACCGAAGTTAAAGTACTTTCGAATGAAAATACGTGCTCCTGGGTGCTCGAAGTGTCACCAAGAAGAAACACCATCGTTTTCGGAAGTGCGATCCTGCCACGCGAGGCAATGGGGTCTTCGTTCCAAATGGAAGATAGGGTCATTGTCATGACTAAAGCTGATTGTGAGATTTGTCAGCCAAACTGGTCTCGTTGTAAGCGTCTTGTCAGATCCCAACCATAATACACTGGGCTGTGGACGGTAATACGACTCAAAACTCGACTCATTTTTGCAAGTTAAAACACCATGATCAATATATCGTTACTCTCTCAAAAAATAACAAATATGTATTATAAAACTGTATGTATATATATATATTATAAAATGTACTGTATATATATATATATGTATTATAAAAAAATATGTATTAACGCAAAATATTTTTCACAAAGTTTGTTAAACAAAATAAAATATTTCCTTTATTTTTACCCTTAATAAACGTTACAATATTTGATCGTTTTTATTTATTCATATTGTTTTCCTTCCAATTGGTGGTACTTGGTTATATTATTTGAGAAATAATCTCATTTTGTTAATATTTATATAATAAATTATGATATTAAAGCCCCACACTTTGTTTTTCAAGACCAACAAACCTACCACCATAAACCACCCACCCCCCCCCTCCTGCGTGCATATATGTGCATTAATAATCGTAACACGATGTTTTATTCTTTTCTTGTTTTTTATTTCTCGGGGGTATTTTTTTTCTTTTGTTTCGTTAACGTACGATAGAACGCAAAAAATGGATGCATCAAGTACGCTAATGCAATTTGGAGAGAGAGAAAAAAAGAAAAAAGAAAAAGAAATGCAACTGATCTGAGAATAAACGTCACGCGAACCGATTTCAAGATTATCCAATCAATGTCATTTGATAATACTTAAAGTTTTAAAGTAGTACTGATAGTTATAAAAACAACTTTAAAACCAAAAAAAAAAACAAACAAAAAATGTTATACCTAAGTATAGTTAGCGCGAAAGGCAAATGGGGAAAATTACTTCCGCCAATTGTTAATATTATGCACGTTTCGCGATGCACAACAGCAGCAGTGCCGAAAAATTCTACGACTCGTAAGTGTAAGTAAAAAAGGGTCGGGGCTAACAAACCACATATATATCTATACACATATACACGTGTATACTATTTTACATAACAACAAGGTATACCACGAGGATTTTATACCTTGGTCGTAGCTTTAATCGGTGATGTTAATTTTCAACGTCGGACTTTTAGAACGGAAATAACGAGTTGTTGTATCTGGCGCGCAGGCCTATTGCGATAAGATATACACCTCTGCTTTAATTAAAGATGGAAAGTAAAGAAGAAAGAAAAAAAAAAAAAAAAAAGGGGAAGCAACTACAAACGTCAAGTCTCTGATGTATTCTCTTTAAACAAAAAAAAAAAAAGAAAAAATAACACACACCCAAAGGATCTTCGAAATTTTCGATATTAAACGCAGCTTTTACGTGTATGATATTTTAGAAAAACTTTGTAAAATAAATAAAAAAAAGAAATAAAACAAACTAGAACGAGTATATCCATCTCATTTCAAGATTATTATACAATAATAATATTAAACAGTATTATACGATGTTACCAAAATAAAACATAAATAATCCCCAGTCCCACCTCCTCTTTCCTATAATGCAAGCCTATGAGAACTATGAATTATAATAAAAGATATTTAATATATATATATAACAATATAAAAATCAAAAATGGAATAGTATAAAATAAAAATGATTGAAAGACTCACTGATTGAGGGTGCGATCGTTGCTCCCAGTGGTAGCCGATCCCTGAACCCCGGATGCAGCGGCGGCAACTGAACCCGAATCGTGGTGTCTCCTTTCCTTGTGGACGATGCCCATCAATTTCATCCACGGATTGTTCGCCGCATGGGCGCCAATGCCGCCGCTTTGCCACATTGCGCTCGCCAGCCTCGCTCCGAATTAAGGAGCCCTTTTTGGGCTCCAATAAGCAACGAGGAAAGACGAGTCTTAATAAAATATCAGCGTCGACGATAAATGCGACGCTTAATTGGGGGGCCGCTAGCTTGCCCGGCCCTGGATAGGTGCGAGGTGCCCTGCACGGCCCCGTTGCCTCCAGAGCCAGGCCCTCGAGCACCTCCACCATCTAATCCTCCTTGATATCTTCACAGCCTTTTAAAAGGCCCAACGAAATCACTCCTTATAATCACTTCCTTATTTATTTATATTAAACTTTCGTTAATTATTATTATTATTTCGAAAAACACTTTTTATCTAACCAAAATGATGATGACGATTTCACACTATGATCACAAAGATCAAAATTTATTTTTACAATTAAGTA